CAATGTATTTACGTCTTGCGGTCTCAGGGTTGGATTTCGTGTGGATGGCTTCTTGTGGTCGGGCCCCCCTTGTATCTCTAGTTCGGATGCAACTCCTGGGTGGTCAAATTCTGATTTAGCCCTGGTCCGAAATCCGGCTTAACCCCGCTTAATCCCGCTCAATCCGGCTTAATCCTGCTTAATCCTGCTTAACCCCGCTTGATCCGAGGCCCACTCTGGCGCAACGGCCCCCCAATGGGGCTTAATCCGCCTTACATCCTTCCGACGAACACCTCCAGTAGTTACGTGCCTCCTGCCTCGAGGCCTCCCAGCGGGGGTCGGAGAGGATGGGGTCGGAGGGCCGCGCCGCAGCGCCAATGCATCGCCGACGCCTCGGCGGTGCGGCTTGTTGTGGTGTCCGACGTTCTCTACAGTCGGCCCAGATCAGCAGGTCCACCCTGCCAAGCCACGGGTACTCTTGTGTGTCCTGTGCGTTCGCGGCACGCAGCCCGCCCAGCTTTTAGCGGAAGAGGTTCGCCCTCGCCCCGCAGATCAAAAAAGTGTGCTCGCGGCACGTGCCCTCCATATCATCGCGGCAGTGTGGCCCTCGGAAGGTTTTTTTTGTTCCTCTCGCATGCCCTCTCCAGTCAATCCCGACTGTACGCCGACGTCGCCGATGCATCGCCGACGCCGCCGATGCATCGGCGGTGCATCGGCGATGCATCGACGATGCGGTGCAAGCCTCCGACCGCATCAACTCGGACCTCATCTAGGAGGCCTTTAGTGTCGGCGGTGATGTCGGCGGTGAGCGAGGGGAGAAAGCGAGAAGGGGCGGGCCTTCTCGGAGGGCTTCCCCGGAGACACGGAAGCCTTCTCAGCGGGCGCGAGGGCTTCTGAAAAGCCCCGCCGCCTGCTGAGAGGGCCTTCTCCTTCTCACTTCCCTCCCTCGCGCGTTCGGATGCAACTCCTGGGAGGTCAAATTCTGTTGTCGCCCTGGTCCGAACTCCGGCTTAATCCCGCTGAATCTCGCTTGATTCCAGCTTGAATCCCGCTCAATCCCGCTTCTTCCGGCTTGATCCTGCTTGGTCCGATGCCTTTTCGGGCGGAACAGTTCCCAGTTGGGGCTTCTCCTCACTCTTCCCGACGAGGACCTCCCAGTAGTTGCCTCCTCACGCTCGGGGGTGGACAGACCTCCTACCCTGACACGTCGATTCAGGAATTGGCCGTTTTCGTTTCGCGAGAGGGCGTTGCGGCCGTCATTTTTGCGGGTCCAGGTTTGTCGATGTCGGTCCCAGGCCGTTTTCACGAAGGGGAGGCCTACGAAAGGGAGGCTTGTCCACCGCCGAAACGCGCGCCGCCGAGCAGAGGAGCAGCGGACCTGGCGGGCAGAGAGCGGTCGAACCTACCCTCTGCCCGCCGTCGGGCACCGCGCGGGAGCTGCGGCACGGCGCGTGTGCGCTTGGCGTGCCGCGCGTGGGGGCACCAGCTCTGCAGCCGCTTGGGGGGGCATGCATATGTGCGTCGCCGACGGCGGAGGAGGGGAGTCAGATTCCACAAACAGTGCTTGCGCTGGAGGGGTCCTCTAGCGGATGCTGAAGGCTTTGGCGACAGTTCCCCGCCGATTTTGGTGGCAGGCTGGGTTCCCGGGTTCCCCGTTCCGGGTTCCCGGGTTCCCGGTTCCGGGTCCTTGGTTCCCGGGTTCCCGGGGGCATGATATCGGCGTCACCCCATAGGGCGGCGCGCACACCGAGAAATCTTATAGTACGTCGTGGCGCGCGCTTTCTGGCCACACCGCTCGGGAAACCATATGCTACAAGATGGGTGTACGATGTGTTCGGCTTGGACGTGCGCCTCCAAGGAATACATAGATTCGATGCTCGTTTCGGGGACCTTCCTGGAGCCCACCTAACGGATCTGTTCGACCCCAGTTCGACTCAAGTTCGACTCAAGTTCGACTCAGGTTCGACTCAGGTTCGACTCAGGGTCGACCCAACTCGACTGACGTTCGACGCAGCTTCGACGCACGAGTGGAGCGAGTGGCTCCAGGAAGGTCCCCAGAACGAGCATCCAACATATAGTATTAGTATGTTTCTGTGCGTCCCATGACACGCGTCGCCGACGGCGGAGACGTTTATTCATACCGTTCTCTGCCCGCGGAGGACTGCATCAGCACGCAAGGTCCGGCTTGCATAAGGAACATTTGCTTTTCAAAGGCGCTCGGTCGTTCCTTTGGTTTGCGTGCGTTCCGCTGCCCTTTTTGGCGGCGAGCCCCCCTGGTGTTCCTGCGGACTTCCTAGACTTACTTGGAAGAAAAGGGGCTTCGTTTCTTACTGATCTTTCCTTAGGTTGTGCCGAATACTGTACGGCAAGTTCGTGCTATGTCAGCGCGGAGGCGGCCTCGGTGCGGGCGTGCAAGTTGGAACGTTGCCCGCCCGGAGTCGGCCGATGTGTCCAGCGGGCTGTGCTCTGGGGAAGCCGCGGCGTCGGGAACCATGGCAGAGCCTCGACGTGAACCTCCTTCTGAAGGCGTGTCGGAGGTCCGGAAGGGACCTGTGGTCGCGCAGACCTGCTCGTTCAAGGCTCAGAGGAGGAAAAGGAACCCACCCTCCCCTCGTTTCCCCCTTTTTGGGCCTCCTGGGAGGCCCTCGTCGCCACCGTTGGATTCGCCTTGAAATTGTGGTCAGAATGCACCCCAGGAGAGGTCCCGGGAGTAGCGGTATTGGTACCTTTCGCTTTCCCCAAAGGCGGGCCTTGGCGTCTGGCCGTGTGCCCGTTTCTCCTGTTGACTACGCGTGTGTTTGGGTCCCCGGTTGTCTAGGCGTTTTGGTTCGCCTGGTGCAAGTCGGTCGACGCGCTGTTCTCGATTCCTGTTTTGTTTGTTCCTCTCGACTTCGATCCCCCCGTCTTTCGGTTGCCCCAAAAAGGGGTGATGACCACACCGTGCGGTGAGTCGGTGGGGATTCGGGGTCACGGCACCGTTTAGGGACTGGAGTCGTTCTCCGAGGATGCTTCGGGCGACCGGGGCCTCCGAGGTCCCAAGACCGTGCGGTGACGGACCGTGCGGTGAGGTCTTGGGGGACTCCGAGGTCACCGCGCGGTCTGTCACCGCACCGTTTCGGGACGCCAAAAGCTTCCGCGCCGGCGTCCTGGCCTCACCAGGGGAGGGCTGCGCGGTGGCGGCCCCCCAACAGCACATTTTGCCGACTTCGCCGTGACGCAGTGTGTGCCGTTTGGGCTTTATCGCCGAACGCGTTCCACTACTCGCAAAGTGCCTACTCGCAAACGTCCGAAACACACATGTCTGATGTGATGTAACTTATCGTGGACCCGCGGGGGATCCAGGCCACTTGCGAGGAGTTACTTTGCGCTCGTCGACTTTCTTTCATCAAAAACATGTGAGTATAGCTCCAAAGTTTCATGTGTCACCTGAAATGAAAGTGCACCTAGAAAACCAGAGGAACTAGTTTGATTGGTACGAAAGAAGTGGGGCCGACATCCTGGGCGTCGTGCTGTCACGCAGGGCGTCTCCCGCCCCGCCGTGGGGCCCCGCGGGACCGGCGCGGGCCGATGCGGCTCCGAGGAGGGCCACGGAGGCCCGGGGTCGGCTCTGCTCGGGCGGGCGGCGCTCGAGGACGGCGGCCTCGGGAGTGCTGCTTCCTGAAGGCGTCGGTGGCTCCTTTCGAGTAACAACAATAAGCATACGAATCATGAGGGAGAAAAGAACAGCAATCAGAGTACACATGATGCTCAGAAGAAACATGCTAATAGTAGAAATAAGAAGCTTGGGACGAATATAACTACTAAGACGCATGATAAAACCATAACAAAAGAGAAGAACATGCACAATGCTATTACTACTGTTAATAGTAATTCGAATCTTAATCATAAGAGGAAGACGAAGCGCACAGTAGCCAGGCACCGGCTCTCGGAGGTGTTCGCGGATCCCTTGGCATCGGCGCCGGGCCCCCCCTCCTCCCCAGCGTACGGAGCGCGCTTCCGGGGCGGCGCCGTCTGGTGTTCTCCCAGCGCCGAGCCAAGAAATCAGCGCGGGCCCTCGAAAGTTTGTGTTTGCGCGGTTCTAGCGCTCCTCTGTCCCATCCATCCTTTCCGCGGTGGTCGTCGCCCTCTAGGAGGAGGAAGGGGAAGAGGAGGGGAAGGGGGAGGAGGAGGACGAGGAGGGAGAGGAGGAGAAGGAGGAGGAGGAACCGAAAAAGTGAGGGGAGGGGAGGGGAGGAGAGGGCAGGGATGGGAGGGAAGGGGAGGGGAGGAGAGGGGGGAGGAGGAGGGGATGAGGAGGAGGAGGAGGAGGAGGAGGAGGAGGAGGAGGAGGAGGACGACGACGACGACGAGAGGGAGGTCGCTTGCGCAGTCGTGTTCTCTCTCAGGCTCTCCCTCGGGGCCCTCAGACCCTGCTCTTGCGGGCCACTGGTAACCAGGCCTCTTTCATGCCCGCGGGAGGGAACGCGAACAACGGAGAGTGTCTCGACGCATGTCTGCCGTCCTCTCGGGCGCGTTCCAGTGCCCCCGTTTTTAGGGGGCCCTGTCGGCTGGGGCGACGACGAGGACAGGTCCGCTCCAAAGCGTTCCGGCGCGCTCTGGGAAGGCCGCGCGACGCCCAAGACGGCCTCCGGAGCCGCTGGATCTCAGAGATTCCGGATTCATCCTCGCCCAAATTCGGAGGTTCAAAGATGGGGTCCTGAGGGATGGGGTCCTAAGGATAGGAAGGGTCGGGGTTGGACAGACCTCTTACCCTGACACGTCGATTAGTGAATTGTCCGTTTTCGGTTCGCGAGAGGGCGTCGCGGCCGTCATTTTTGCGGGTCCAGGTCCGTCGGTTTCGGTCCCAGGCCGTTTTCACTAAGGGGAGGTTTACTAAAGGGAGGTTTGTCCACCGCCGAAAGGGACCCCGGGGTGAACTTGCGTTGTTTGAGGCACCTCGTCCTCGGGGCCCCATCCCTCGGGGCCCCAGCCTGGAGCCACCGACGGATTCGTCCTGGTCTGGGCTCGTGGCGCCCCTGCAGGCGCAGCAGGCCCAGGCGGCGAAGATGCGGTCGAAGCTCGAGGCGCCCGGCGGGGCGACGATGGGCAGGGGCTGGGCTTCGCTCGGACGTGCGCATTTTTTTTTCGGCGATGGCCCTCGAGGAGCACCTTAGACCATTCTGCGAGAAGTATGTTGGGCAAACTTCCCACCACCGCTACCATATGTAGGACGGGGGGGGGAGTATGGGGAGGTCCTCGTCCTCCTCCTCCTCCTCCTCCTCCTCCTTAGTCGGCGTTGGAGGTTCAGGCTCTTTGAGAACTTACGGAAAGAGGATTTTACTGAAACTCTCTCACACGACTACCGCCCCGCACTCGCACGGATCATAATGGGAGCCAGAGGGGGCATGAAACGATGGCGGTTGCAGTGTTCTCGATATGTGCATTGATGAAACTGGTATGCTACATCCCGTTGGCAACGAATGCCACGGACAGACTGGAAGAAATTAGCAATGCATAACGAGAGTGGGATGCGTTTGTGCTGACAGGGACGCATCAGTGGGCATGGCCAAAGCAGATGAGGAAAATGACTCACAGATATCATGTGGCACTTCAATTCTGGGCGAAGCAGGGAGAACTTGATCACCAAGTGATGCGGCACTACGCTCCTGGTGTCCAACGAGATGATGAAACACAAGTCTTCCCGCACGCAGTACACACCTCCTGCACAACTGCAAGGAAGAGCTGCGAATGGTTAGGCTGCGTACGAGAGGTAACGGCGTCCCAATCTTCGCGACGTACGTTCCGCCAGAGAGGGTACGCAGACAATGTGTTGATTGCTGTATTATACAATGTGTGGAGGTGTGGCGGCACGGGTGGCAGATTTATTTTCGAGATGGGAGGGGACCTCAGCAACCCTTTGGTATTGCGCAGGTCAGACAGCAGAGATTTGGTGGTAAGCAGACACAGATCGGGCACACATTCAGCTGCGTTGGGACCAGTAGCCAAGGAGGTGGAGAACGACGACGGCGCCGCGTTCAGGGAGTTTGGTGTCCATAGTTTGTTGTCAGTAGTCACGTTTTTTTTTTTTTGTTTTTTTTTTCGATTGTGGGCCAATTTGTTACTTCGTGAAAGACGGGAATATGACGTCGGTCCAGGTCGACCACATAGCGACGCCGACGGGGGCTTTACCACACGTGCGGACGTGCGCTGCATTGAGAGGAGCGGCCAAGCCATTGTAGACGATCGAAGCGAGAGGACGCAGAGACCACATCCCATTGGGCATGGATATTGGGCGGGAACATCAATGCCATGTCTCGTGCCAGCACAGACAGCACAGAGCAGACACAGAGGTGGACCGCAACATGATGGCTGGTCGAGTGCCTGCCTGGGGAGAGGACGCCTGAAAACAGAATTCTTGCGCGCGTTCGACCGCCACCTGGAGGCCGTTCTGCCGCAACAGCCAGGATAAGCATTTGCGGGTTTGTCTCGGTGGGCGACCCATGCGGGTCCATCCAAGCTCCTAGGAGATGCGTCAGCGAGGTCCTCTCGGAGTGCGGCCCAGGAGGAGCTCGCCGAGCTCCCAGGAGAAGCATTCGCGAAGTGATCTCGGGGTGCAACCCCTGGGGGGGCGAACGGCAGAGGAATAATGGAGAGTTCCAGGGGCGCCCCGCAGCGGACCAGATGTGGAAGAAATGAAGCGAGGCGGGCAGAGATGCCATGAAAGGAGTATTCACAAGCAAGAAGACACAGGAGAACAAGGGGGCCGCTGCCTCCCAGTTGCGGCGACATTCCCTACTGGCAGAAAGGTTGAAGTTAATGGCGTGGCAGAGTCAGTCACGCCAGAGAGATGTGATAATTTGCCAAGCATGCACAGGACAGACTTGGAAGTTACCAGGACAACGAAGCTGGCAGAAGAAACATGGAGGGCATGCGAGGACAACAGCTTCAGCGAGATGCACCGGCTCAGGGTAGAATATCAGACGCATGGGAGATGGCCAAAGACGTGTTATTTCTCAGCTCGGACATGGAGGATCACAAAGGAATGGCTAAACTAACGGGGCAAGCACCCTCCACGAATGGGGGGGCTGGCAGCAGAGCCGATGAACTTAGAGGGGTGCGGGCAGGAGCGCGACGAGATGACCGCAGAGAATGCCGCCCCCAATCGACATGGATCTGAGATCCCAAGTGGAGAGAGACAAGAGGTACATGCTGAAGTACAGCAGGAACGCGGCAAGGAGGAGGGCTGCCCCCCCCCCCCCCCGCGGGGGGTGCCAGTGGGAGGACTTGGATAAGCGCAACTCACTTTGCAAGTGCAGGGTGGGCAGATCGGTGTTACAAAACAATGCGCTGCCGATGAATGGGGGGGGGGGGGGGGCGATCGGGGAAGGGGGGGGGGGGCGGGTGCGCTGGGCGGGGCAGATGGGGGTGATGTTGGAGAAGCGCTGCCTGCGGGCGACAAGGAAAAATCGCGTCACCTTGGGGGGTGGGGGGGGGGCGCGAGAAATTTGGGCGGGGATCTCCAGCGCCGGGGGCGGGCGCGGGCATGGGGCGCGGGAACAAGCTGGAGGGCATCCTTATAGAGCGCCGCCAATCTCAAGCTACACCGCTGAACTGGCGTAGGTACATTTCTTTCCCAGCAGAGAAGAGTCAACCAAAACAAGGGGATTGGAGGAAAAAGAGCCCCGCGCATATTGCTCAATGGGAATGGCGCCTCACACTGGGATTCACTACAAATGGAAAACACCAGAGCGCCCATGCTGGGCACAGGGGGGGCTTAGAAATCGATCGAGGGAGAACGCGATTGCCTGCGTCGAAGCTACGCCATGGAGAGCAAGACTGGCAGGGGTGAGCACCGCTGCCAGCAACTACGACTGCACCAGTGCCTTTGCGAGCATTCTACGCAAATCCTTGCTGGCATCAGTCTTTGCCGCCGCGCCGACTGAGGAGGACCTACCATTCGCTATTGAGGCGCTACATTGCGCGTCAATGTGCAGGGGGTGCGCAGACGACTGGCTACATGCACCGGCTGCGCGGGGTGCGTAGATGGGTTTCCTGGCGTGCCCGCCGAAATCTAATGCCACTTACAACCTGCGCGCGGGGCAATGGCAACAGGAAGAGAGGGGGCGTGGAGAGATGCAGGCAGCGCGCGACACGGTGGGCCCCGTCAGTGACCGGGAGCACGATCTCTCGCTCAACGCGTTCAAGATCCGCGCAGCGGTTCCGCCCAGACCGCCCGCGCGGGCGGCTGGGGTTAGCGAGGCGATCCCGGAGCGCCAGTCGGCATTTGGCGAAAACGAGGATATCTCGGCTCGTCCATGAGCACAGCGCCAGTCGGTTCTTGGCGAAAGCGAGGGCGTTTCTGATCGCCCGAGAGCCCCAGCGGGGAATGAGGCTGGATCGCTATACCAAGCGAGAAGGATAGCGGAGCAGACCACTGCCACCGCGCAGCGCCTCGAGCGCAAGCTGGAGAAAGGAGGGTGGAGCTTGGCTCCATCCAAAACCAACCGCCCGACATCCCTTCGAGGCCCAGGGGCAGGCGGGGCCGCGCGACAGCTACAGAGGGAGAGGAGGCTCGCGGGCACGCCAATGGGGGAGATGAGACCACTGGGGCCATACCTACCTACCTACCAGGAGGCCAAGGCTACGCGGGAGCGATCAGGAGTAGGTGTGAGGCCATGCAGATAGCTCGCAGACAACGTGGATGGTTCTGGTCTTCTGATACCACCGACGAGAATCAGAAGGAGATGTTCCAGGCGTTTGTTTCGGGGGCAGGCCTCGGCGGAATGACGGCGCCTGTGATTGAATAACAACTTTTGCAAGCGCTTGACAGTGCCATGGCGATTCCATGGAGAAGAACGGCAGGAGGCAGGATGAGCTGGACAGAGGAAGATTGCACCGCCAGGTGCTTCGCCAACAAGGAGGTGTTCAGGAGATGGAGGATTCCGCGTCGCTCAACAGCGCTGAGGATCCGCTGGCTGCGATGGGATAGGCAATGGGCCAAACGTCCAGAGGACTTTGGTAGCGCGTTGGCCCCAGCTTTTGGCGCGTCGAAGCTGGGCCGCCTCTGCGAAGTCAGGAGATTGGAAAATGGGGGGGCACGCGAAGCATCCACGCCCTGGGCAACGCAGGTGGTCAGGGATTGCCAGGCGCCGGCGGAGGTCAGCAAGGACGTTGCAAGCTGGTGCCCGCGGAGGCAGTCAGATATCCCCTTGTTCCAGACGGGCGCGAGAGATTGGGGAGCTTGGACAGGGGCGGACCCAGTATTCTACGCTTGCAAAAGCTTGGGATACACAGTTGCCACACATTGCGGTGGGAAGCGCATTGGTCGCTCAGTGCTGGCCCGGCTGGGAAGCTGGGGTTGGGGGGCAAGTGAGGGGGGCGGAATGCGCAGCGGCGGCGGCGCTGGCAGCGCGCGGGGGAGTGATGCGCACTTATCATCCGCTGGTCTCCAGCTTGGCGACGGCGAATCAATGCCCGCGGTTCCTGAGCTCTTTCGCGTCGAGAGAAGCGGCCGCGGGACTCGATGCAAAAGCAGAAGCTGTTGGAGCCGCCCAGTCCAGGAGCCTCCTTCCCTAGTCTGCACCTTCTGTGGCTATCAGGTTTAATCTTTTGGGGTTTCAAGCGCGCCGCCGCCATTCTGGGCCGCGCCGCGTGTAAGATGGCGAATGCACCGCGGAGACTGCCCCCGTCCAGAGGGGGGGGCAGGCGCGGAGTTGGAAGGATAGACGAGGAGCCACGAGGGCCGCAAGGGGAAATGCAACTACCAGTGGACAACAGAGGGGTCCAGCTCCAAGGCGGCGGGCAGCCGGCCAGAGGCCGCGGCCGCGGCGACGTGGGGGGGCGGCAAGGGCGGAGAAGGGGGGCGCAGACCTTCCCGCCAGCAGCCATGCGCAGCGGAGGACTACGGGGGCTTCGACCTCAGAGGATGCATCAACGGACTCCAGCGACTGGCCCTCCGCTCGGCAGCAGAGATCAGCGATATGAGCCACGTGACATCCGACTTCTTCCTCATGCCAGCCAGCAATTTGGCGTTTCGAAAGTCGTCGGGGGCGGGGCAGAATTACGGGAGCCAGGTCAGGGATAG